ATCTCTTCAAACCTACTCAGAGTTAGAGGGTGCATCTGAACAAGCTGCTGCTCATGCAGTCAGCAGGAGATGAAGCCTCCTTCATCTCTCACCACTTCCTGCTGGTGCTTTGTCTTCTCTCCAGTACCAAGCAGTGGAGGTGGCTATGGCCCAGCCCTCCTCTGTGCTGTCATGGCTGGGAGCACTGGGATCCTCCACTGGGCACTCTCTAAGCTCGCAGTGGAAATACATCTTTATGGTAATGCGGGCACCAGGCAGCCACTCTGAATGGGAAGTGATGGCAGTTACTTTATCTAATAACAGCATGAAAGTGTAATGTGTCTTTATTGAGCTGCTGGATTGCTGGTGAGAGCTGAAGGAGATGCAGCCTCGAGTATAACATTTGCAGAGAGAAGCAGCATGAGATATTGCCACGAGCTCCCCAGTTAATAAGCAAGCAGAGGAAGGGAGAGCATACCAACTGCAGCAGGAAAAAAATAAGAAAATGGAGGCAGCAACCTCCTTCCTTAGGCAGCAGATGTGCCCCAGGGAGAAATGAAGAATTCCCCTCTTGACCCAGGATCTAGAAAACTCATGTATGACTAATAAAAATGTAGGAAGGACATATTTGAAAGGAATAATAAAAAAAGACTCTTGTCATATTAGTGTCCTCAATGCCAGAGGGAAATGTCCATTTCTGTAGAGGGAAGGTTAATGTGGAAGGCTCAGCTGTGCGGTGACCACAATCTGTGGGCAGCCATGAGATGCAGGAGAGACTTCTGCCCTATGATGGATGGGGGTACATGTGGCCAGGTGTGAGTGCATCCCCTGCTCTTATATACAGCTCTGAGGGTGATGACTGCATGTGGCTGAGGGGAAAGAAATGTGAAGAACCACATCTTTGCAAAATTGGTTCCAGTTCACCAACTTCAGCTTCTTCCCTAGCTCAGTAGAATTACTGGTGGCATTTATTGTGTGTATTTTAATTGACATGTTATTTAATTGCATTAAAGGCTGCTTCTGATACTTCTTGCCTGACAAAATGTGGCCTTTTGAGAAAATGAAAATTGTTGAGATGCTTAAGATCATATTCTGGCTAAGTCTTGTCAACCTGCTCTGGGTGTCCCTGCTTGAGCACAGGGATTAAACAGATGAGCTCCAAAGGTATCTTCCAACCTCAACCACACTGTGATTCCATGAAAAGATCCATGCAGTTCCAGTGTAATTACTGTTTATATCTTTGTACATCATCTAAATTGACTTTTGAAAACTTATTTGGTAAAATAATTAAGATTTTGGTAAACAAATTCTGATTACTTCACTTTGGAAAGCCACCACCACCACCAAAACAAATCATTTTTTAAAAAAGAAATAATCTGGTTGATGTTCTCTTCCACTTCACTAAGTAGATACTGGGGAAGGTGATAGGAGGGTACACCTCTCTGCTGCCCAGTTTGGGCAATTTGCAGAAAGGTTTGAAGCCACCCTCACTGCTTGCCAGCAGCTCTGTCTCCCACGTAGCTGTGTTGAAGGTGTGAAAACAAGAGGAGGTGTAGGAATGGGGCAGGAAGGATGGCAGTGGACATTTTTTGCCCATCACTAACACACCTTGAGGCTGTGAGCCGAATGGGCCATTTTACTTCTGCACACATCAGCTAGGAGGAGTGGATCAGGCTCAGGAAGAGGTGATAAGGCTGCAGAGAAAATGCATAGAGAAGCTGCAACAGTGATCTGATCTGAGGCAAAAGGTGCTTTGCAAGGGAAACATTATCGGTCTGTTTGGTTTGCTGGGGGACAATTCAAGTAAAGCTGTATCTTCAGATGGAGAAGGTCTGCAACATCAGAGGCCACGTCAGCCCAGCAAGAGAAAGCACTTTATAGAATGACTTTCTGTACATAGAAGCCCATGCAGCAAAAATAATTCAAACTGAAAGTGTGTTGCAAAATGTTAGTGGCAAAGATAAACAACCTTAGCACATCCTTCATGGGGAACCTCGAACCCAGGTTGTGCAGAAAGAACGGGCATGCAGCAGTTAGCATGAAGGGACAAATGCTTTACTGAGAACAGATTGGAGGCCCACAACTCTCCTTCCAGCTTCAAAAATTACTGGCCCTGCTTTGCTGATATTATCCAGTGCCCCAGTTGTGCTGCAGTAAATGCTGGTGGAATACCAGTAGAGTGGATGGCAGGTGCTGACCCTGGCTTATGTGCCATCCCAAAATTCTGTCTCCGGAATTCACTGCTGGGGACGCAGTACTGAGCTGGAGGGGACACTGCCCTGAGCCAGCAGAACATCTCCTGCGTTCTTACTTAAAATTTCAGGTGAATGTCAGAGGAAAATGTGAACTGGTAGTGCAAAAACCTCTCCTCAAAACCTACTGTGAGACCCAGGAGAGCAGACAGAGCTTCACACAGCAAGCTTACATCCAAAGGATGAAGAAAGCTGCCTGATGCACCAGCTGGCTCAAGGGGAATACATTCTCAAATGCCCCATTCATCAAAACCTGTAAAGAGGTCTGGACTGACACACTCAGATGTAGACACTTACAGGAGAGGTGCCAAGGTGGCCTGAATGCTTTTCCTACAACCTCTTGCCAGGCAGAAAACAGACTTAGCTAAAAGAGAGGAGGGATTTTTTGAGTGGCCAAATAGCATCCCTCAAAGGTAGGCCTGAGGGGGTAACTGGGGTCTTCCCATCCTCAGGGCACTGTGTGGGCTACCCCTGGTGCCATGTGCACCAGCAAGTAGTCATCCCAGATGTAGGGATGGGAAGAAGCTTGACTTTGCTATTTGAAGGGAGCAAGATCCGCTTTTAGGAAGGTCATTTTCCAAAAGTGCCCAGCCAAAAAAACATTAGATTGAAGCCCAGGAGTTCCAATTCCAGTGGCAATAATAAACATAGATAGAGGCTGCACCTTTTGTTTATTTAAGGCTTTGATGGCAGAGTCATCAAACTGTAGAATCATGAAGTCTGGAAATGACCACCAAGATCATCCAGTCCAGTCATCAACCGTATCCCAACCATGCCCACTAACCACGTCCCTCAGTCCCTCATGAACACCTTCACAGGTGGTGACTCCACCACCTCCCCATGCAGCCCATTCCACTGCCCAACCACTCTTTCAGAGAGGTTTTTCCTGACACCCACCCTGAGATTCCTTGCACCGATGCCTTGTAGTGTGAGATTTGCCGGTTGGAAGCATTCGTGCAGCTACCGACTGCACACTGGCAGTAAATAAATAATAAATAGTTGGATGCCTGCCGTTACTTTGGGAACAGAGAAAAGGAGACATTTAAGCAAATCAATTCACTCTCTTGTCCTTAAGCCTGTCTGGAAATATTCTCCAAATCTCTTTCCACGCTGCAAAAATTATCTCCTGATCTACAAGTGAATGTGAGGAACTGAGAGATACATATTCCTCCCAGCTTTGATGTTTTCTGGGTGGGTTGTGTTGTCAGCTGTTCCAATGTTTGCAAAATTTCACTTATTTATCTATTTTTATGCACAGCTCTCTGCAGCCTGGCAGAGCCAGTATTGCAGTATTGATTCAGGAGCTCACAACAGTGACCACCCGGTCCCAGACTGATGCAGATGCTGTATATGGACTGCTCCATCCCTCACCCCCAGAGCTGAATCGCTTTTAAAATGAGGCAAAAGAAGAAAGAAAAGCTACTTTCATCTGTTTTGAAGGGGGGGAGGATTACAAAGGCTAAACGAGCCGTATGAGTACTTAGTGAGCAATCCTAAAGAGCACCCTGATAGGAAGTTCTGGCAGAGAGCTAATTAAATTAGCCCTCTTTGATTTATTAACAAGCAGAGCAGCACAACACACAAGATTGTCCCACAAAACGAACGTGCTTTCCTATTCCCTTGGCTGCTTCAGTGCATTTGCCTCCCAGATAACCGGGTGGTGGGAACTCTGTTTTGACGAGCCCCGGTGGCTCAGTAGATCTCCCTGCCCACCAGCACAGATACATGCCAGTAACGATACACAACAGCGTCTTATTATTTTTTTTTCCTACGCTTCCCTAATTCCTTCTTTTTTAATGCCTAACACAACCTAATGGCTAATTAGTAATTTCCTGCCCACCAATATGCGGATGAATGAGAAGCAAAAGCCTTCAGCATGTTTAATTATTCTGTTGATTTAGAAGCCACTTTTTCCCAGCGCAGTCCCTCCCCATGCATGTGTTCCCATGCATCACACATTTCATTATTTTTAGGAGCACGCTCTGTACCTTTATACACTCTTGCAGCTCCAGCATCCCGCACCTACAGCATTCTGCATCCAACCCAGACACGCTGCTGACTTTAAAAGGAGTTACCCCAAGTTACAGCGGACCCCACGCCTGCTGATGTCTGCTGGTTTTTATTTATTAGTTCATTTGTTTGCAGGGGTAGGGCTCATTTTTTTTGCTCTGGGGAAATGTCTCTTCTGTAAAGGAGCAGAATATAACATTAACAAAGCATCAGAGAGTGACAAAAACTGAAAGCAAAGCCCGCAACCGCACAGGCGTGAATCTATTTATATAGCGAGCGCTACTTGTGCTTCACCCTGAGAGGAGCTGTAACTCCCTCTGCATATGTGATTTTCCTCCCAGGCTGCACAATGAAGCCTGCTTCACCTATTCCTGCCACTTTCCTACAGTTTTGTTGGTGGGTTTCTCACCTACCCGTTCCATTTATCTCTGGTATTAAGGCACCCTTCGCTAAATGAAGCCAATTAATAAATGGAGACGTTAAGCAATCAATTGTGCCTGCCTATCTCCCCAGCCCTGCGTACTCCCGGCTGTAATCGCAAGATAAATGCGATGTGCTGATGTATGGTAATGTTCAATAATACATTCTCCGCCAGGCTCGATTCATCAGGGACTTTCTGGAGGGGAGGCATTCGTTATTGGCTGTCTCCGGACCTCAAGGATAACAGTTCTGTCCTTTCCATTGGCCGACCCACTGCTGCAAGCCTCTTCCCGTCTTATTTTGATGATGAATATGAAGGGATGCTGAGCCGTGCCGGAGCGCAGCGCTCGCCGACTGCACTCTCTCCCAGCCTCAAGGACTGCGGGGCTGCCTCGCTGCCTCCCCTGCCCGCCGCTGGCAGCAGCAACCCCCGAAGTTGGGATGCTTTTCTTCACCCAGTGCTTTGGGGCTGTCTTAGATCTCATTCACCTGCGGTTTCAACACTACAAAGCGAAGAGGGTTTTCTCAGCCGCCGGGCAGCTCGTCTGCGTCGTCAACCCAACGCACAGCCTGAAGGTGAGCCAAAGAGATTTGCTCTCTCCCCATTTCTCTGCTCCCTTACCCCTTCCTCCCTGCTGCTGCCATTTCTCCCCGGGGAAGCATGATGATCCAACAGTGTGGGGAGAGCGTGGTTATCACCACGCAGCCCCGGCAGAGGGATGGATGCTCACAGTGCTGCAGGAGCACTTTGGGGATGAAGGAAGGAGAGCATCCCGCAGCCAGAGTAGCTGTAGGCAGCCACCAGTGCCCACATTGCCAAAGTTTCCCATTCATCCACAAGACAAGAAGGCATGCTGTGAGCATTTTGGGGGGGGAGGTAAAAAGTTAGTTTGATGAATTAGCACGTTTTCTTTTAAAGGGCTCTGGTGTGGCTAGTGCTGCCAATGTGTGACAGTGTGCTGCTGGTGTGTGACAATGTGATGCTAGGGAGCAGGGTGAGGGGGGCTCTCCCACAGCTCAGGGATCTCTGCCTGTTGTCCATGCTTTCTTTGGGGCAGAAAAAGCAGTTTTTGCCTCCCGAGGGGAGCCTGAAGGCATTCTTTGGGCACTGAAAGCCTCCTTCGCCCTCTGCAAGGTGAAGCTATTTTAAGGCTGGAGAATACATTTGCCTTAATGCAAAACTATTTATAGAGACCATAAAACACTTCTCTTGTGAGCGTGGTTCTGGATTTACACTGACAAAGTGTCAACAGTTCCATCTACGCCAAAGCCCTGAGGCTTTCACACAGAGCCACAGCAGTGGGTAAGGCGGTGGCTGGGGGGCTTCAGGGACTGCATGGCAGCAGAGAGGGACCACCTTTAGCACAGTGATTCCTGTCCTGCTGAAAGCCCCTCGCAGACCTGACCTGCAGAGCAGACTCAGCAGGGAATTGAATTCAGGACAACTCATCCAGGCTGGATGTGGCTCTGGGTAGCCTGGTCTGGTGGTTGGCGACCCTGCACATAGCAGGGGGGGTTGAAACTAGATGATCTTCGAGATCCTTTCCAACCCAGACCATTCTATGATTTTATGATTCTAGTATGTCTGGCTCTGCTTTCCCACACCAAGAGGTCGGCTGGCAGGGTGACCTCCTCCTTGGGGCAGCATCCCCCTGATGGGAATAGCAACACTTCAAGAAAGCAGATTTCTGGAGCTGTATTTGCAGTGTGGGGCAGGTAGAGGTATTTCCCAGCACAGCAGCAGCTTGGAGAGGGTTCTCCTGCAGGGCTGCCAGGGGATGTTTTGGGGACAGCTTGCCTCTCATGTCATCACATCCTCTGCCACTGCTGGCACTGCTCAAACATCCCACAGCCCTCTCCTTCTCTCAAAGGGATCTTTCCATGCAGATGGGCAAAGCACGCTGCTGGAAGAAACAGCTGCCTCTGTGAGTGCATAGGGAGATTTGGTAAATGAGCTCTTCTGTTCCTGACCCCTTTTAAATGATTGCCTCCCGCTACTTTTGTCTGCAATCTGAATTATGAAAAAAAAAAAAAAAGCCCTTGGCATCCAATGGTTTTTGAAGGTCATGTTACAATGGCACAGTCTGAGGAGACACCCCACAGGCACACGGTCCACTTCCCTCCCCCGTGATAACTGGGACAGAACCTGATTTTGTCAGTTCACCTTCTCCCAAGCTGCAGATTCACTTCACTTGCCTTTAAAAGTGCCAGAAGAAAAGTTAGAATCACAGAATATCCTGATTTGGAAAGGACCCCTAAGGATCACTGAGTTCAACTTGTGATGCTTCCGTTCCCCTCCATTAAACACGTGGGATATTTCAGCACATTAAAATTCCTCATAGCCATTCTCCCCGTTGCTGGGACTCAGAGCCCAGCAGAGAGGTGAGTGATCTCAGTACAGCCTTGCTTGGGTGCAAAGCTCCCTCGGAACAAAACAGGAGCTTTTAGGAAAGGTGCAATGTGCAAACAAAGCACAGTGATCAGGCTGAAATTTCATGTTCCCCCATACATCCCCTTTGTGCCAGCAGGCAAACGGAATCAGCTGACACAAAACCACCGTGGATGGGAAAAAAAAAAGTGGTACACCCCAAGCAGTCAGCTCATCTTCCCTCCTAGCTTGCAGAAGGGTCACTTTCCGTGGGCAGGGCACCTTGTCCAAAAGGTGCCAAAAACTGGGCAAAGGAACCTGCTTCTGCCCTGGGGCTGAACCTGTTCCTCTGCAGTGTATTGTGGTATTATGACTACTTGGTGTTTTGGAGTCTATTACTTCCAGCTGGGTCACTGCATCTGTAACATTTTGCTGACAGCCTCCACATCTACCTTAACAATTGACAAGCGGAGTGAAAACTGTATTAAGGTTCACAGTTGATGAATACAAGCCTGCTAGGAAACAAGGGCCGGGAGCAAAGTCATTCCTTCAAAGCTTTAATGACTGTGCTTACCCCACAATTGTAAGCTCTTTGCAAAGGGATTATCTCCTTCTGTGTTTCTACAGCACTCTGGTGAGGGGACTGCTGGCTGACTTGTGCAAACGATGAATGATGGGCATCGTGTTCTGCTGTGATTGTGCACCTTGACATTTCACACACAGCTCAGGTCCCCCGTCTGTGTGTATAACCCCACTGAAGTCCAAACACGGCAGAACCCACGGAAGGCTCAGAGATGTGGTTGGCATCTCAACCCCCACTGATTGTGATGGCGGTTGGCCACCACAGTGTGCACCAGAGATTTGGCACCATGGATCTCAGCAGGAGGCAAAGGACAGGCATCCACCAGGGCCTGTCTTGCACAGCACTGTAGTCACAGCACCCATGTTCGGCCAGCTGCTGCATACGGCTCTGTTAAACACATCCTCTTCATTCCAAGAGTTATGAGCTTATGAAACTATAGAATGACTTTGGTTGGATCATCAAGTTCCAACTCTCCTGCCGTGGAAAGTGGTTTTAACTCTCCTGAGTGCTGGAAAGAAGTGTAACGTTCGTGTGAAAAACACTCTTCCCCATCTCTGTAAGATTTAAACAACTCATTAAATTGAGAGAAGATGCACATGTGAAGGACGGCATAAAAAGTTTAACTTTACATTCAGCAAGGATCTCAGTGCTGTTTATTGGGCCAGTCTGCATTCTAGAATTATTTGATGTGAGAAGCATATCTGCACTGAGTGAGTGCATTTGAATCCTATTCTAACTGCTTGGTTCTGTGCAGTGGCAGCCAAATGGCTTTGTAATCTATTTTATCCCCAGCAGGATTAAAATGCTATGGTACACAGTACCCCCATGAGATGTACTCTTACACTCGGTGTAAGCAAGGATATGGGCATTGCAATGTGCAGCTCACAGCCTCTAGCCAGCCCACACCACCATCTCAGTGCAGGGCTGTAGTCTGGGGAAATCAAATGGTGTTTTCCCATCTGAAGCAACTGGATCTAACAGCCAGGGCAAGAGAGGCTTTGGTAGCCCAGGGTGCCTGCAAACCTAGGGTCTTGTCCTGTGGTGGGGACAAGGGAACACTGGGCAATGTAAACTCCAAAATCCTTTTGTACGGAAGCAGCAAGTAGATAATGATGGGTACCAGGAGTTCTTCCATCCCATAACTCACTGATCTTGCAGACCCATACATGCACTCCACATGGTCCATAGCATGAGAGAGCAGAGTAGCATGGAAAAGCAGAGCAACTTCAAGCTCCATCATCAGAAATCACAGCAACCTCTGGGAGGATGGGAAGTGAGGGGAAAAGCCACTGCCCCTGAAGTTTCTATGCTAATATGCTCCTTGCCCAAGTTGATGGGTGCTATAGCTCTGGTTAGAGGTATACAGGGACAAAGGGACATCAGTTTCCTTCCCTACATATGGATGGAGATTTTGGTTTGGGGCTGGAACTGCTGGTATGAATTTTAATACTGAACCCGACCTGACTGCAGGATGCATCAGGTCAGTTGTCATCCATGGGAGACGGTGCAGTCATGGTAATGCTAGAGAAACCCTTCTCCCCCCCTCCCCGTGGGATGTTTGGCAGCAGGGATTAGGAGCAGCAATCAGACACATCACATTGTGCTCTAATCCTCCTGCTCTGAGCTGGCTCAGCATAGACATGCATATACATGAGCCATACACAACAGTCCTGACACCTCCCCCAGGAGCAATGCTGCCCCAAAGCTATTGCCATTGCAGACTCATGGGGTGCAGAAGAAATCAAGATGTTTTAATAAAAGCCTTGATTCTGTGAAATGACTCGTGAGGTCTCAGTGTGCTTCCAAACAGATGTAAGTTACACCCAGAGATTTCCATCATTAGCACAAATCTGTGTGATTTGGCAGTAGTCTCTGGATAGAAGCCAAGCACTGAGCATGGTCCTGCAAGACCCAGACATTCAGAAGTCCAGGCTCAGGTCTTTGAGCATCACTAAACTCCTCAGAGTCAGAATTTGCAAATAGTACAGTTTTTGTTTAGAATGAAGGAAAGGAGCTGCTGGCTGTGCCCTGCCTTCCCAGGGCTTTGGCACTCCCTGCACATAGGGAATCCCTCATCTTGTCCTCCCTGGCTCAGAGCTGAAGCTTTAGGTAGCCCTGGCATCCCCTATGCCCTCTTCTGTCAGCATCTCCTGGCTTGGTGTGGACCAGAGAAAATCAGTGAATCCCGCAGAAGTCTTTGCCCAGCTTTACTCAGGACTGAGCGAGGCAGTGGGAAAGATGTGCTTTTCTGGTTGTAACGAGGACCCCTGCGATGCCAGCTTGTTCCTGGCCCTCAGCTCTCCATCCCCTGCTCTCTCTGAACAGGGGAGCAACTTCCCAACTCTGCATGTATGTGCTTCATTTGGAAGTGAGAAGCAGGGATTTGGGAAGTTAAACACCTCATCAGGCTGCTTTTTCCTTTTCTTCATAGCTTGTCTCTTTTCATTAGGTGCCATTTCTTCTGAGCTATCCTCACGCTGCACATTGCTGCCTATACAAAACCCTTAAGGCAAAACATACTCTTTGTCATTCAGTAAGCTAGTTTTGCCTATTTTTTTTCTTCTTTTTACTCTTGCTGAAGGAAAGCATCACTAACTTTACTGCAACTTTGGGTCCCTTCTGTGC